AAAAAAAAAAAAAAAAAAAAAAAAAAAAAACCCTTTTTTTTTTTTTTAAATACCATAAACGGATATACTCATTTTAACCACTTTTTCCCCCATCAATTTTTTGTGGAGTACTCTGGCTCTCCAATCAACCTCGAGTATTTATGAGACACCTCGAACTCAGATTAGTCATTCATCCATTGTCCATTTTGAGAAGTCCAAAGCAAAGCTATGAAAGTTTATGCTCAAAGTGAACAATATCATACCATTGTAGAGAGTATTGGAAATAACAAAGAAGAAATCTGTCACATATCCTTAAATATTTGTTTTGAGGTTTTGATGGATGATCACTCTCAGAACCGTGTTTTAGATATGTGATAGTTGATGATAAGAGTGTGCTAATTTAAGGAAGGATCATGAGTTTATAATCAAAGAATACTTTCCATTTGGATGAGACCTTTTGAAAATCCCAAAACAAAACCGTGAGAGCTTAGACTCAAAGTGAACAGTATTCTAGAGCTTTTTAATATTGTTTTTAATTTTTTATTAATTTAACACTAAAAAAAATAATAAATAAACAAGTTTGAGGACAAGTTGAACACCCATGATGGATAACGAGAATCCATGGTGGAGAGTCGGTGTCTGTTACTGTTGCAGACTGCAGCGTGGCGTGCCTTTGAGTTAGGTTTCGGTTACGCTTCGCTTCTATAACGTGATTTTCCCCGCCACATATTTTATTATTTCTCCGATTTCTCCCTTCCATTCTGGCTGCAGCAGCCAAATCCATCCCCCTACCGGCGCACCCCCTTGTCGTTCTTCTCCCCATATCCCCCCTCTCCGCCACAACTGCCCGCCGGCACGTGGAACCAGACTGAGGGTAGGTCTGCTGATTGTATGATAGATGGCTGATCTATTTCAGGCTACGTCGGAGGATCTTTGGCGAGGGAGTATTTATGGTAGTTGGGGCACTGTTTTGGTCATCGTCTTCATTTCAATTTGTCATCTGTTTCGTTTCAAGAAAAATGTTTGGTCTCTTCTCTCCCGCTTACAAACCCCGTCTGTCGTCGCCGATCTTCAGATATCTAACATATCTCCTTCATGTCCTCCACAATCGAGGTGATTTTTCTTCGTTTCTTTTTTCCGGCTTTTATTCATTGTCATGAATCGGTTTTGTATTGTATAGATGATTGTATTCTACTTATTATGTTCTCACTGTGAAAAAGAAGCTGGGTTTGAAAATGTCACTTGTTCTCTAAGAAAACAGAAATCTTACGAAGAATTCGATGTTTTTTTTTTTGGGGGCCCTTGACACTCTTGAGAACTCTACAAAAAGACTTTGAAAGAAGAAAGTATTTGCTCGGAAATTGACCGGAATTATTTGAAGCCCCAAATTCCTTTTATTTTTTTAGTTTTTTTTTTAATCAAGAAACCAACCAGATTAATGCTCAAACGTAAAAGCTCCACAAGGGAGAGAAGAAAAACTAAAAGCAATGAAAATAAAGAGAGTAGAAAACAAGAACATAGCATATCATATAATCACAGAAATATCAAATGAAGATAAAAGCTTCCCGATTAAGACAAATGTTTTGCAAAGAGAACCCTTTGAATGGTTTGGAAAGAGAACAGCAACGAGAATCATTTAGCTTTACTGCCTCTAAGCATACCACCCAATTTCTTTGCTTGCTATAAACAATCGTCTGATTATGTTCCCACCAAAGCTCATAAATAACAACCTTAATTGCATTGACTTACAATAGAGAAGGTCTAGGAGGAAGGCAAGGACACATAAGAAGATGATATGTATTACACTTGAAACAAAATAAATGGGCTAGGCTTTTTTTTTATTGTCAAAATTTATCCCAACATATCCTTTTGTGTGTTCAACGTGTGTCTGAATTGAAAAAAGTTAATATTGGACACGCAATTTGGTGTGTTGAACACGTGTTCGGACATGTTTGTGTCTGACACATATCTAATACGACACTTTGTCTAAAATAGAGTTTTTGTGGCTTCATTGGTCGTGGACGTCCCATAAGTAACAGCTCCTTAAATAGACTTCTTTTTTCTTCCCATCTAACCCCCTCATATTCCAAGAAATCACTTCCATTAGGTAACCTAAGATTCCCTTGCTTCCACTGAATCTGTTCTCCCCACATGATTGTGCATTTAAGATTCTTCAACACTCTCGGAACTTTTCTATTATTCCCATTCCCCTTAGTAGCCCTTCTCCCCTTCATATGTAGGGGATGTTGCACCTTTGCAGCACTCCTTGAAGCCGGCACTGGAGAATTTAAGGATGAATGAGTGGGAGAAGGTTATTTTTCATCAACGGTTGATAAAACAAATATTTTCAAATTTCATGATTTGGAAATAAAACTTACCTAGATATGATGATAACATATTTCAACTTTATCTAAAAGAAATTCATTATATTACTTTTCGTTCAAGCACGCATGCATTAAATTTATTATTTATAACCAAAGCTTGTTATTGTTAAAGATTTCCAATTTTCACCTCCAGGTACCCATCTTATTTTTTTGATCAAGTAACGGACAAAGTTGTGTGACAAACTTCAACGTTATTTTTTTTTAAAAAAATCACTGCCTTTATTCCTCCTTTTGAATTGGTAAACAAAAACATGTTATCATTTTATCACCTTGGTTTTGCTAGCTGTTAAGTGATATTGAAGATCATCTTATTCTTGCAGAATAATGGAGACTATTTCAGATACAGATTTGAAGGCTTTATTGGATGATTTGGATGGAAGGCTAAATGAGAATGAGAAATGGGAACGTGTTATAGAAAAAAGTAATGATAATCTTTCATATAGTGCTAAATGCTGCAAGCCTAAGGTTCTCACTCTCTCTGTCTTTATTCACGTGTGGACTGAGATTTTGGTCTAGTTATGAATGTAAAATATGGGAGTTCTTTGCTTATTTGGTTTGTGAATTTAATGATTCTAAGTTCAAGTTGGTCAAATTCCGATCTTGTTGCAGGATGGTCCCTTGAAATACTCGAGTGTGACAATATTTGAGAATTGCTGTCCAGAATTGTTGAGAGATTTCTACATGGACAATGACTTTAGAAGACAGTGGGACAGTACTGTGCTTATGCATGAGCAGCTACAAATGGATGAGACTAGTGGAGTTGAAGTCGGTCGCACCTTAAAGAAGTTTCCTTTAATGACGCCCAGGGAATATGTACTATCATGGAGATTATGGGAGGGGAAAGATAAAACCTTTTACTGCTTTACCAAGGTATTGATTTTAATGCTTTTCCCACCTCAGCGTGCACTCACGAACATGCACACGACAAGAAATACGTGTTTACTTACTCAGTTTATGTTATTTTCATAATTCTCAAACAAGGAAAATCTCACTATATTGAGTTCATGAGGATTGCATTACATTACCAATTTCTCTTTTGCTTAGCTATTGGTAGGAAGATTTATACGTATATAAGAAACAGAACGTTTCTTTAAATCTAAGACTGAGAACCTATCAAGTCAATGCAATATCAAGCTGACCGTTGTGGCTAGGAAATGGATTTCTCTTTGCTGACTACTCTTCTACTCCCCATTCTCATTCATCATTGTCTTCTTCTTCCATTGCTTCTTCTTTCTCAACAGCCGTGCAACTATTGATCTGCTAAAAGCTGCAAATGCTTGCAGCCTGACAATGGAAAAGGCATCATCGGTGCAATCTGCCACCATTTAGAAAATGAATTACACTATAGAGACTGATAGCAGAGAAAACTTCAAGCAACTTGAGTTAAAGATCTTGAAAACGACAAGGGTTGGAGCTTTCTTTATTAGCATCCATTCGTCGTCTACATTGGCTTAAAGAATCTTTCTTGTTTCTTCCACACTACTCTCTTAAACTAGATTCATCGAGGAAGTTCGCATAGAAGACTAAACTATGTGGGTAGCAAAGGCCTTATATATAAAGGGAACCATAACTGAAATTACCCTGATACTAAACAATGGAGGGATAATCAAAATTATCATCCTAGTGGGTGAAGAAGGAAAAGGATGGCATGGGTTTTATAATCTCATCTCCAAGTACCCGTCTGCTTCGCCTGTAGGGAGCATTAACCATAAACCCCTTTCTCAAGTTTCAAGCTGCCGCATTAAATCCCCTAGCTTTAAAGGTCTACTTTATCCTTCAAGGAAATACTTTCTTCAAGCAAAAAGAAGGTTCTTTTACTTTGTGAAAATGCGGACCAAGTCAAAACCCCTTGCTCCATGGTCAGATGGTATGATGTGGGGTCATTTCTCTTTAAGTTTGAACCGTGGAGCTTGGACACACAATAAGGTAACCTATACCATCTTATGGGAGATGGATTTAAAAAAAAAAAAAAAAAAAAACCTCCCCCATGATAGTTGGGATTGTAATACTTATTCTGTCTTTGTTCAGAATCTGGTTGGTGGATGAGGTGAACACTTACATTTGGGAGGTCATCTCATTAGGGGATAGATGGACCCATTTTCTCTCTACTCCCTCGTTTGTACCATTTGTCTTCCGTGAGGTTTCACTCGGTAGCTTTCATTCTTTCCTCTTTGGGGGACCCTTCCTCCTTTCTTGACCTTGGGTTTAGTGGGCTGTTATGCGATAGGAAAATGTTGGATTGACCCTTTTATCTTCATTGGGGGAATTGTTTGTTTGTTCGAGGAGGGATACTTGTTCTTGGATTCTTTATTCTTCCTGGGGTTACACATGAAGATCCTTTTTTTATTGGTTGGTTAACCCCTCTTTGTCCAATGCTCTTCGTTCATTTTCCATTTCCTTACCATGGAAGGTTAAAATCCACAAGATGGCTAAGTTTTTGTCTGACAGCTAGAGTTAACACCATGGATCGAATTATGGAAAGGGCATCCTTGTTGATTTGTCTTCAGTGTTGTACCTTTTGTAAGGGAGCAGTGGTGGACCTTGATCATTTTTTGTGGTCTTGCGATTATGCTTCAACTCTTTGGTTTTGTTTATTTAAGGTCTTTGGCATTAGCGTGGCTCAGACCTAAGTTCTCATCTCTATGTTCAAGGATTCGTTGCAACATCTTCTCTTTTTTGTTGATTGCTGGCACTTGTGCTTTGCTTTAAGGTTTTTGGGAGAGAGGAACAATAAAGTGTTTAGAGATGTGGAGTAGTCGAGGGAGGAAGCTTGGTTCCTTGTTAGGTTCCATACCTCTCTTTGGGCTTTCTGGTTTGTAAGGATTTTTTTAAAATTATTTGTTAGGTTTCATCTTTTCTTTAGTTTAGTTCGTTCTAGAGGTTTTTCCTTTTTGTATACCCTTTATTCAAAGTCCAACCCTCTTCAGTTCCTTATTTATTTATTTATTTATTTTTTGGCTTTCCTTGCCTCCCAAAGCTCAATTCTTATGGCTTTTAATTGCAGTGAAAGCTTTAATTTCTGAAATTTAATTACAGAAAAATCAGCATGTCTTTGAGAATTTTCAAGAATGTTCAGAAATAATGGTTTTAGTGGTTTGAGTTGGCTAAATCAAAAGCTTCACAATTGTGTTGTATTTCTAAACTTTTTTTCAGCTTTCTACTCGCAAGATGTTTGTGTGAATTGGTGAGTCTTTGTTTCTAGTTGGTTTGGTGTTTCTGTTTTTGCTTTTGCATTTACTTTTTTCCTCATTTGGGATTTGTAGTTAAGAACATTTGCTTCTTTTCACTACAATGAAAATTTTGTTTCCTGTTTCAAGGAAGAAAAAATCTTCAACGTAGAATTTAAAAAATACTAACCAAAGTACATGTTGAACCTTTTCAGACCATACCAGGTAGAAGTTTACCTGGGTACTGGAACCATCTCTGTTACCATGACGGAAAACTCTATTATTGGTATATTTGTCATTATTTTAACTCTTTGCAGCCCTTAGAATGACTGATGGAATTGCACAAGGAAGTTTATATTTCAGGAAAGGAGGAGATTTAGAGAAGGTAGATCTGCATAGTAATGAAATCGAGCGTAGAAACAAAAGCCCGTGTGAGAAATAAACAAAAGAAAAAATAAACAGAAACAATTTTGAATTGACTGGAAATGCTTTAGTGGGCTGGCTCCCGACGATGCATCAACACTTATATTATGGGTGGGTTTTTGCTTTTTGTGTGTGATGCGATAAGAAATTAAACTAAACATATTCCAGGACAAATTTACCAGGAAGAAGAGTGACAAGTCATCCATCCCCTAGTCAAAGGCATTTACAAAGTAGTCTTAATCAGCATCGTATATCAAATAAGAAAAATAAGAATCACTATTTAATTATACGGTAAAATAAAGGAAGGTGTTCAAATTTAACGGAGAATGTTTCACAATTAATGTTCTATCCCTCTTGAAACTTTTCCTTAACTAGGATGGTGGATCATCTATGGATAATTCTGGATAATATATTGGGGGTAGATTTACGAACAAAATCTCTAATTCATTCAAGTTGCTTCTTTTTTGTACTGCTAAGTTTATTTCCTTGAGAATGTCTTTGAGCAGGAGTGTGAACATCCCTTGGCACCACGCCAGAAGAAGTATGTCCGAGTGACATTTTTTAGATCTGGTTGGCGAATCAGGAGAGGCAAGTGGCTATCTTCTCCTTTGTTGCTTTTTTATGGTCATTAGTTTTTAATTTGCCCACGAGCATTGCATATTTTATCAAAGGAACTCCAAATCTAACTGTATATTGTTAATTGCTCAAGTCGTCGGAAATGTGCTTTAGTTCATGTCTGTAAAAATTTCTCTTATTTGTTATGCTGTCTTGGAGGTTATAAATGGTTAACTGACTTGTTACAAACATTAACATATTGAGACTTCATGAATAATATGGATTTTGCAAGATGCAACTTTTCCTTTTAAATCATCTGAGTAATTATAAGCTAGCTTTTAGTGTCAGGATTAGGCGCACATCTTTTGTAGTCTTCAAATCTCAACTACTTATCCTTATGGTTTCAGATTATTTTAATTGCAGTACCCGGCAGAAATGCATGTGAGATCAGTATGTTGCACCAAGAAGATGCTGGTTTGAACGTGGAAATGGCAAAACTTGCCTTCGCAAAGGGAATATGGAGCTTTGTCTGTAAAATGGATAAAGCATTACGCAAATACGCTTTAATCAACAACCCTCCATCAAGTTCACTCGTCACTGCAACTACTCTGATTAAAAAGGTTAAAAATGTTTACTCCGTTGATACTAATTTTACAATTTGGTCAAGATTAATGTTCTGTCATTTTATTTATATATCAAAGTGTATGTACTTAACTGTTTCATGGAGTGTCACGCCTCGTACCGTTGTGGCAGAGTAAACACTTCGTTAGTATGGGTCGGGCAGTGTTAAGTACGGTTTATAGGATGAGCTTGGATTTGTAGGGATTCCATGACAAATGTGTTATTAGAGTTAAGTCCTTGAACCGAAGAAAGTACGGTAGAGGGGTATTTGAAGTATAAAGCCATAGTCGTATGCAATACGTATAAGCGACCGTACCTCATATACATGTCTCCCCCTTAATCTTGCTCATGATGGATATGACTGACACATTTCCGTACTACATAAAGGTTCCAGATGGATTTGAAGACATGAATGACATTGTCTCTAAAGCTGTCTCTAAAGCAAACATTGTAGAAACCGAGTCGTCCTGTGGACAAGTTTCATCAGGAGAGAAAAAACTGTCGAGGGCATCGAAAAAACTTGTGGCCAAGAGCTTGCTTCTACTTGGTGGTGTGATCTGCCTGTCGCGGGGTCACTCTAGTCTTGGTGCCAAAGTTGTTGTGGCATATATTCTTACAAAGCTAAACAAGCGAGCTGATGCACCAGGAGCTCAAATGGCAAATAGGGAGGCGTAATTGTGTAACATAGTGGAGGGAGGAAGGGAGGAAGGGAGGAGGAGATATAACCATCTTTTCTTGTTAGCATCAGTCCTTTTCATTGAACTGATGAAAAGTTGAAGATCGGTTTTTTGTTTAAAGAAACACGAATTCAAATATTTGAATCATACTTACAATAACTTGTAGACTGGTTCATTTGTGCCTTGATCGTATCTATGTCACAAATATGAGCTGTGTTTAATCAAATGTTATTGAAAATTATAGTGTTATAACAGATTTTGATACACTTTCTAAGTTCTTGAATACATTTTTTTATGCACTTAAAAAAATACTTAAAGTCGAATTATTCTAAACATATCCAAATGCTAAAAACGTCATAATCCTAATGATTCATTAATATATATATAACTTCAAAGAAGTTTCCTGTGTTCTTCATGATTCTTTCAAATTATCGCTCTTTAGCTCATGTGCCACTCGTTGGACAATTATTAAAGTCAAATACTATTTTTCAATTTCGATTATTTTGTATATTGGATTAATTAAGTGTGTATGAATATATTGAAAATATTTAAGATAAGTTCATATTTTGCAGCTATTTTTTGATATGTTAGGCACATTTTTATATGTAAAAATGTGTAGAAATGACATTGAAATTTAAAACAAAGAGTGAATTTACATTTTGGATGAAAAATAATAAGAAATGTTCCAAATCCGTTCCATATGTTCCTTGTGCAACATTTTGGATGCATATAGCTTCATCGATTTGCACGTCGCGGGCTCTGAATCACAGAGCAACCGGAGTGTGGTTTCAGTGCGATGTATGGACTGCCGTTCTCTTATCAGCTGCCGGGGCAGATTCCATTACGGCGAGTCTATGTCGATGTGTTAGACTACGTTCCAGGCGGCTGTTTTCACCATTACTCTACGCGAAGCTCATGCGCAGCACGAAGACGTCCGCTCAACGTATTTCCCCACCTTCTTAAGCCCATAAAACTTGCCCAAGGATATTTCTCTCCTTGTGTTGGAACTAGAATCAAACCTACCCTTGTTCATTCTCATTTGCTTCCTCCTTTGTTGGATGACGGCCATGGGTGTGGTGGAAACAATAATGGGGGTTGGAATAGTTCATACCGTTTTGGGGGTTTTGGGTGGTGGCAGGATGGCAGTAATTCTTCCCCAGGGTGGCGCAATGCCTTCCTTGCTCTCGTCCTTACCTCCGTTCTGGGTTGTTTCTGCCATTTTCAATTGGCCGCAGCACTAGCACGTAATGGTATAAACTCTGAGTCTGTTTGGGAAGTAAGAGGAGGTAAGCGAATCCGCCTCATTCTCGATACGTTTAGGGATGAGTTCTATGTTGCAACTGGCGTGCCGTCGTCTCCATTATCCTTTTCCTTTGTCAATTTTTGGCTTCGTTGCAGCGAAATATTCAAGCGTTTGATGCTTCCGGAGGGTTTTCCAGACACTGTTACCAGTGACTATCTGGAATATTCTCTTTGGCGAGGAGTTCAGGGCATTGCCAGCCAAGTTAGTGGGGTTCTTGCTACTCAGGTGCACATTTTCGTTCGTCTATGGTTCCTCATTCACGTTTCTCATTCAATAAAAGAATAATTGACTGCATTTTGCTTGAACCTCCGCCGTGATCCAGGCACTGCTTTATGCTGTTGGATTGGGAAAAGGAGCTATTCCGACTGCTGCTGCCGTGAATTGGGTACTGAAAGATGGATTTGGATATCTGAGTAAAATTTTACTCTCAAAATATGGACGGCACTTTGACGTCAATCCAAAGGGGTGGAGGTTGTTTGCTGATCTTCTGGAAAATGCTGCCTTTGGGATGGAAATGTTAACTCCCGCATTTCCCCTTCATTTTGTCGTCATTGGTGCTGCTGCGGGGGCTGGACGATCTGCAGCCGCCTTGATTCAGGTTATTGGAAGTTGATACATAATTTACACACAATATTGGAAGTGCGTCTCCTGTGCTTGTTGCCTCGTATTTATACATTTGATTTGTTGATTAGTTTTTAGAACGCGTAGCTTAATTTGATTTAAATAGTGAAACACAGAAATATTTATTGAAACCAATAGATGGGCAACTATAGAAGCTTTTGGTAGGTTATAGAGAATTCTGATTACATGCAATAAGAAAACCTAAATCACAGATGTATTAGAGGTAGCCTTCTCTTTAACCATCAAAGTGGAGGTGGGAAGTGGAGAAGAGGAATCACAGAGAAAGAAAGTTGTTCTGGGAGGAACTATAGATAGTGCCTTTGGAGATATTGTGAGGGATTTTTGCATTTCAGTGGTAACTTGAATGTTACTTGATGGTCACACAAAAAATTAAATGGTGGAGGACTAAAAGCACAAGTAAATTTGATGCTACTTGGAAAGATGGAGCTGATTGAGTTACCTTTGTGCGCATTCCTATTCCCTCACCCTTGTACATGATATAGCATCCAAGGAGTGGGCTGATATGATAGATTCCATGATTCAGAGTTCTTAGCAGGAACAAAACTATTTCAAACCACTCTGAATGGGCTCTTTTGGTGATGTAGTGATTCTCTTCTTTCTACTTGTATTTCAAAACCGGTGAATGCCTTCCTTTTTCTTCTAAATACAACCATTGGGTTTTATTTCTTTGGTTAGTTGCTAGTTTAACCATTGGTCGTTAGGGTTAGTTAAGTGATCAACCTTGTACTCACTAATATCATACTAGTGTTTGTTTATTCTGTGTACCGATGTTTGGTCTCTTATTAGATTCTATGTTTCTCTTTGGGATTTGGTGGTGGGGTCTTTTTGTCAATACTTACTAGGTCTTATTTTATTGGTCCTTTTAGTTTGCCCAAATTTGGTATCAGAACATTATATTCTCTGGGACCTAATGGCTGGAAAAGTGGTGGTCTATTCTAGTAGGGGGCTCAATGGAAACTCCCAAAAACTTCGTCAAATTTTGTCAACCAAATCTACAACTGAGCGTTTGTTGTTAGTTGAGAACACTCCTTGGGCGAGTTAATATCAAACATTGGTGACTACCAAAGAATCCTAGGAAAATAGTGTCATGACAGTTGGAAGGCCTCACAGTGAACCAAAATCAAGAGAAGCTTAACAGGACAATCAGAGAGTAAGAAATACACAGAGAGGGATCCCAATGTTTAGGGTAGAAATTTATTTTTTCCCCTATTTATTATTATTTTTCCTTGTCCTTGTATTCTTCTTTAAAGGTTTTTTTTTTCTCTCTCTAACTTTTATTATATATTTATATATATATATATATATAAAACAATTTTTCATTGATAAACGAAAAGGGAATTGTTCAAAGATACAAGCTCCCAAAAGGAAACAAAAGAGAAAAAAAAAAAAAAAACAAGAGAACAGAGTACACAAAGGAGAACAACAAACATCATAATAAAAAAACTGAAGCCCTTTCAATAATGGTTTCATGAGCTTCAAATAACTTCATCTTGAAATGGAGATGAATCTCTAAAGTCTTTTCAATATTAGACACTCTACAAAGAGTAATTTCATTTCAGAGAGAAGCCAAATGTGCATGAAGCTGATCAATCCATGCCAAAAGTTGAGCAATATCAACATCTTTAGACTATTAGCAAAGAAGATCGATGCCTAAAGGAAACTTGGAGAAAGATGAACAGAAGATGGCAATTGATGCAACCAATGAAAAATTGAATTGGAGAAACTAGACCTTTGAACTGAAGAGAAAAACTTCTTCCTCAAGCAACAGAAAGGCATGCGAAAACACTTTCTTCCAAGAGACAAATTAAAACTCGAAATATAAAGAAAAGGGTCCTTGGAAGAATATATATATATATTTTTGAACTTCAAAAGGAATAAATGTGGATAGGAGAAAAGTCACGACCAAAAAGATAGAGAAACACCTTGAACAGAGACAAAAGACTTCTTCCAAAAAAAAAACCTTTTTATGACTTAAACATCCCAACACCTTGATGAGTGAGAATCATTAATACCCTATAAATCTTCAAAAAGAAATTGCCTTCATATTGGTGAGAAAAGCCAAAATTAATTACAAAATTCATGATGAGATAGGAACCTACAGAATAAATCAACAACTTCATGAGAGAGAATTACTAGTGCGTCACAAATCTTCAACGGAAACAGCATTGAGGAAAAAAGTTGCATTTAATCAAATTTTAAGATGAAGGCACGAGATTCAAATGGTGGCACAATTAATGCAGATTAAAGAGACTTTTGCTTGGAAGAAATTCCAAAGGCACCTGAATAATAAAGCTTCCAATCGTGAATCTTTTATATAGTTCTTGCTCTATTTTCCTCAAGAATACCAAATTTCCAACTACTATTCAGATGTTCTCTTATTTAGAAGAAATTCTCAAAACTGAAGACCGGCAAGCATCAATGAGAGAAAAATTTGGTTGGAATAAAATTTTGAAGTTCTCTTTTCATGTGTCATTGTAAATATTTTCCTTTTTATCTTTGATTTTTTTTTTTACTAGTAATCTACTATGTGCACTTGGACTGTTGGATCCTCTATCAAAAACTTACATTAATAGAAATACAAAAATATAAATTTCCTCGTGTTCTTATTTCTTGTTTGACATACCCACCAGCATATGCATCTATGGTTTTGTTAACTTCAACTCTCCAAGTCATTGATATCTCCCTCAACCTCTACATTCACCTTAAACACCTTGTAAAATAAACTACATTTTTGTAAAAAAATTATTATTATTTGAAATTAATGGAGTTGCATAGTTTTTGAATGTTGAACCTATTTTTTTTTTTTTTTCTCAGGCTGCTACTAGGAGTTGTTTTTATGCTGGCTTTGCTGCTCAAAGGAATTTTGCCGAGGTGAAATAGAGTAATCTCTTCTCTGGTTAGTGTGTGGTATCAAAATTACGAACACCTAACTTTCCCATAGCTGCAAATTAGGTTAAAATTTATCTATCATGCTATGTGTACATCTGAAGCTATGTGTGAAACCAATTTTTCTTATATAAATTGAGTGAGTAAGATTTATGCCAGAGGATCCCCACCATAGATTCTAAAATTCAGCTATTTGTCTAAGTTTGTAAGGGAAGAAATAACTACCCGGAAGGAAATAATTACGACTATTCAACTTGACATCTATGAAAATGAACAATTTCTAATATTATACAGCTGGATATTTTATACTTCCCCTCGGATGATATATGTTGGTCATTCCTAGCTTATGTAGCTTATGCAGCTTTTTGGCTGCCTGTTGGGGTTTGTTAAGGTGTTCTGTCTAAATTTTTTTGTATGTAGAATTTATTTTAGACCTGGTTGGTTAGTTCGGCTTTTTTGTTGTTGGGTAGTTAGGCTTTGAACCTGTTCATGAGAAAGGACTGTTTTTGTGGTAGACTAGGATGCGCCTAAACTGGCCAGATAAAGATGTTCTAAAACTAGTCCATAAGTTTAGGTAGCCAATTGAAAGTGATCCAAAGCGTAATAAGGAGAAAAATAAATAAAATGTAGTTGGGTGAAAAACTCCTCAATTGACTCCCAACAAGCCTAAGAGATAGAGAAGCTATAGCCAAGAACCTCAAAGAAACCATGCCAAATAGCCCGAGCAAAATCACTACTCCAGAGGATTTCTTGATCTTCATGGTTCTATCTTGGTTGATGAAAGAGTTTGAGTTTTAAGAGAAAGGGACTTTTGATCACCTTGTTGCATACACTTGAAACCACCTACACTTGATCGGTAGAAGTGAACTATGATAGTGGCAAGTTTCATAAACGGGAATATGAGTAGAAGCAAAACTTACTACATTGGAGATAAATCAGGCGGATGTGCTGAACATGAAAAAGAAAATAGAGGCACGTGAGAACTTTGTTTAGAATAGCAGTAGTAGATCAAATATAGGTGGTAGATTTGAAAAAGAAAAACCAACGGGGTTAATGATGAGTTATGAACCACACATGGACAACCAGATTTGGAAGCTGGGGGTTGTTGAAGAACAAAGCTGCAAAGACGAGGATGTTAGGAATTGGGTGAACGGAGGATGTGTGAGTAGAGAGACGCTTTGCACAAAGAAGCATAGATGAATATCAGATGATTGGAGAGGTGTGGACAAATGGCTAGCAATCACTTAGGATTGAGTGAGATGCCTTCTTTCTTTCTTTTTTTTTTTTTTTTTTTTTTTTTTTTTTTTTTTTTTTTTTTTTTTTTTTTTTTTTTTT